CAGTAGGTAATAAACCATTTCTGTGTTCCACAAATGTCTTGCCTTTCTATTTTTTCTCCCTGATTTCTTCCCTATACTCTCCCACCCTCCTTCCTCCAGTGTCCATAACTATTTTTAATGCTTTTAAGTCCTCTAATCTTAGGACTTGAAGGAAGTCTTAACCAAGTGGTAGAATACAGTGACGTTCTCATGGATGAGAAGAGCCGTTTCATTCACAGAGTTCGCTGTGGCTCAGACCTTATTCTCAGTACTTGCATAAATTCACTCACTTGTGCAAAAATATCATTTCTCCTTTAAATGATCTTTAATTTTAACTATATGTTTTTTTTAAATTCCAATTTTATAGGTTTTAATTATTCCAATCAAAATCTTTCAAAATTCAGATTCCAAACTTAAAATTCTTTTTCTCTTTAGTTTTTGTTATAGGGTGCATGTGCTCATTGAAGAGAGACAGAGAGAGAGGGAAAGTGAGAAAGCACACCCTCCCACACCCCAGAGAGAATGGTCACAACACAATCCCTTCTCCTCCAATCTCCTCTCAAGATTTTGGAGGTACACACACATACACCCAGCATAGATTCTAAATCTATATAGAAGAACGAAAGACCAAGAATAGCCAAGACATTCCTAAAGTAGAAAAAGAAGGTGGAAGAATATGTCCTATCAGATGCAAGAACTATAATAAAGCTGTTGTAATAAAGACAGTGTGGTAACATCGCAGATGGACAAGCTGAAAATGGAACAGGAGAGGGAGCCTAGAAGCAGACCTGCAGCCACATGGAAACACGATGGATGGCACATGGTATTGCAGACCCACAGGGAAAAGTCAAAGGGTTGAAGAAACTGTATTGGCACTGGTGGTAATCCATATGTAAGACAGAATCAGATAACTACATTCCAACATGAACAAAATTCAGTTCCTGATAGATTAGATTTACATATAAAAGGCATAACTTAAAACTTTTGGACCAGAGTCAGTCAGTGATATGGTGGTTCCGTGGCTGGATACCACATGGCTGCCTTCGTGGTTCAAATCCCAAACCTGGGAGCTTGAAAAACACACCAAGTGTGTGTGCATACATGGCCAAAATTCTGAGAAGAGGATAGAGGAGGAGGGATTGTGGCATGGCCATCTACCATGGGTGGAGAATGCGGGGGGGGGGGCTCTTCTCATTTTCTCCCCTTCCTTAAAGCACACATGTTCTGTCACAAACTTATATAAACAAATAAATATAAATAATAGTTCACTTAAAAAAAACTTTTGGAATAAAATGTGAGCATATTTCCTATAATACTGGACTAAATAGGATTTCTTTGACCAGACCATAAAAATATTAACCAGGTCTGGCCCTAGATCCCACATGGCTGACTGCAGTTCACACCTTGGCTCCAGGGGCTTGAAAAACATGCCAGACATGTGTGCATGCCTGCCCCAAACCCCAACAGGATAGAGAAATGGAAAAAAAGGGATTGTGGCATAATCATACCCTATTGGAGGGCGATCCCCCTTCCTCTGCCATTCCATTTCTCTGTTTCTTTCTGGTGAGTGTACACTTTTTCTGGCAATTTAAAAAATGTTGACAAATTTGAAAAGTTATAAGTTTAACCACATGAAATGAAAAACTTTTTTGCTTATAACCAGAAAGATAAAGAAGGACATCATTAAAAAGAGGAAAATTAAATTAATGCAAACCAAAAGATATATTTATAACACACATAACTAACCAAAGATTATCTAGAATACATAAGAAACTTTCATGAACCAATAAGGAAAAGGCAAACAACCAAGGTTTTTAAAGTGGGCAAAAAAATATTAGCCACTAGTGGGGCCGGCAAGTGGCATAGTGGTTAAGGGCACTGGACTCCCACATGGCTGACCACGGTTCAAGTCTCAGACCTTGTGACTTGCTTTCTCACTTTCTCTCTCATTCACTCTGTTCTTCTTCGGTCAAATTAAAATAAATAAATGAATAAAGTTAAATAAAATAATTATTTTTTAAAAAATTAACCACTAGCAAGCATTTCTTTAAAAAAGAAACAACAATGGTATATAAGCATGTGATAAGATATTATTAGTAGGCCAGCAGGTGACATGGTGGTTAAGGTGCTGAAATTCCACAAGGCCAACTGTGGTTCGAGTCCTGGACCTGGAGGCTTGAAAGTCATGTCAGGCACATGTGTGTATGCCCAAAATCCCAGTAGGAGAATGGAGAAGGGATTGTGGCATGACCATCCCCACTGGAGGGTGATTTCTCATTTTCCCTCTGTCTCTCTGTGTCTGGTGAGCACATGTGCTTTATGGTTAGAAAAAAAAAAAAAAAAAAAAAAAAAAAAACTTTAAATAAATAAATAAAAATCTGATATTAGCAGAGAGTAGGAGAGATGCAGATCTATGGAACATTTATGTGACATGACACTTAGGTGACCATAAATTAGAACAACCACTTTGAAAAGCAATTTGCCACTGCAATAGACTTGTTCAGAAATATGTTCTGCCCCTCCCTGTGTAAAGATTCTATTTCTCTGTCCTACTGATGCTTGACTTGGCTGTGTGTCTTGCCTTTTTTTTTTTTAAGAGGTTTTTACTATAGGGCGCATGCGCTCACCAGAAAGAGACAGAGAGATAGAAAGTGAGAAATCACCTCCCAGGAGGGATGGCCATGCCACAATCCCTTCTCTTCTCTTCTCTTCTCAGGATCTTGGGCACACACGAACACAGGCCCGGTGTGAGTTTAAGTCACTGGGTCCAGGACTTGAACTGCTGCCGACTACATGGGAGTTCAGCAACACAGCCATTATGCCACCTGCTGGTCCTGCTGTGTGACTTGCTTTAAAAGTTAGGATCTAACCAAATAAATCAGAGCCAAAGTGGCACAGGTCCCTTCAGTTTGGCATAGCCAGTGCTCCAAGTAGAAGCTGCTCCCTTTACCTAAGTCCCAGAGTGAACTAACATGGGACAAAGACACAGTCTGCAACAGGGATGTAGTGCCTGTGAGAAATGCATCTTTGTTGTCTCCTCAAACTCTATGAAGTTTTGGGGAAGAACCAGTAGATGATGTGATGGTTAAGGTGCTGGACTCTCACATGATCAACCTTGGTTTAAATCCTGGGTCCAGCAGTTTGAAAATTACGCAGGGCGCACTGGGGGTGGGAGGGGAGTGATTTCTCACTTTCCCTCTGTCTCTCTACAGTGAGTGCACACGCCCTTATGGCAAAAATTAAAAATATTTGGGGAGACATTTGTTGTTTCCAGATAACCCAGCATGTCCTAATTGATACAGCATAGATCATGAAGTTGAGCATTCACATGTCCTAAGATCCAGCAATTCCCCCTTAAGAAGTTTCTCTAAAGATATTCCTGCACAAGCGGTACACAAAAGAATATTCGGAGCAACACTGCCCGTGACTGCAAAGACACCCGGAAACAATCCAGATGTTCTCATGGATTGATAAGTTGTGCTGTATTTGCAAAAATCCGACAGCAGTCAAAATGAACGTACTCAAGCTATACACAACATGACTCTGTCAAAGAAATATAATTTGGAATGACAAAGCAAGTTGTAGAAGTCTCCACATAGCACAATACAATTTTCATAAAGCCCCACAATGAGCAAAATTAAATAGCATATTATTTGGGTATATAATTATATGATACCTGAATGTTTTAAAGCAAGAGATAGACACCTACAAAATTCCCAAGAGAGGTTGCCTGGGAGTACGCACAAGATGAGGTAGAGAAGCAGCACATGGATGGATGCTTTGACCTCGACTTTGATGCTATGAAGGGTCAGATATTAAATATTTTAGAATTCACAGGTTGCATGGTTTCTGCCCCAACTTCTCAATTCGGCTACTGTAGTGCAAAGGCAGTCTTAGAAAGTAAGTGCTGTTTTACAATAAACCTTGACTTAGGGACTGAAATCTGAGTGTCATATAATTTGATTTTATGTGCCCTGAGATCTTATTCTTCTTTTGACATTTTTTAACTTTTAAAAATTATAAGAGCCATTCTTAGCATGTAAGTCTTACAAAGGCAAATGGCACTCCAGATTTGGCCATGGGGGTCTGGGGGCCCTGCTCTAGCTCTGTGGTTGGGCTACAGATTCACAGGTGCTCATTTTCTTACTGGGTTTCATGCCTTTCATACAGGTTTCACTTATTGGATTGTATGTATCAACTATTAGGGAAAAAGTTCTTAAAAATGAAATGCAAGTAACCCAACTCAAGGGGAATAGGACAAGGCAGAAGGTGTGAGGCTGGAAAAGATCCCGGGGAATGCACAGACATTTCCTCTCTTTTGAAACTTTCCCTGAAGGTCTGAGATTTATTGCCCTCGACCCGAAACTCAGATCCTCTCATTCTCCCACTCACATCAGAGATGTCACTGTGTTAGATGAGGGAACCAATGGACTATTTGGTTGTATTTACTGCATGGTATGCCTTATTTTCTTATGTCATATTAGCACAAAAACCTGCATTGATTTTGATTATCATTTTAGTTGGACCATTGGCCTTTATGATTCAAATTAAACTATAGTTTTCTTTGGATTAAAAAACAAACAAACAAAAAAACTAGCTTATCCTGTTAGGTTGTATTTAGAAAATACCCTTTTACAATCAGCTCTATCCCATACTTCTATTTAAAATGGTACAAGTTTTTTATTTTATTTTATTTATTCAATCATTTATTTTAATTTGACCAGAGAGAGAAACAGAGAGAGAGAGAGGGAAAGTGAGAAAACCAGATACCAGGTCTAGGCCTCCAAACATGGTCGGCCATGTGGGAGTGTCCAGCGCCTTAACCACCATGCTCCCTGCCAGCCCCTACATGGTACAATTTTAACACATAAATATTAAAACATTTTTTTTGGCTATGAGTAATCCTGGAATATTTATTATCTAGGATAGTGTTTTTCAGCTTAGAAAGACACCATAAAGTATCGTTCATATTCTTCCTTTTCTCCTTTTGAAGAGAGTCCCCACCGCTCTTTGAACTCTTTGAATTTCCATTTTACAGGTTATATTCTCCTTCTTCTTCTTCTGGAAATCGGCAACTACAGGCATCTTCTTCTTGGGCAGTTTGCACTGGTCTCATGAATGCTAAAAAATAATTAAAAAGATACCTATATTTGCTGTCTATTTGAATCATTTAGCTCTTATTTTCCATGAATCACAGTTGCAGAACATCTCTAAGTAGCACTTACAAATTTAACATTCATGAACTCATCCATGAGAGGTAAGAGCAAATATAAACTTTTCCTAGGGATTAATTAAGAGTTTTTTTCCCTTTTTTTAAAGATCAAATATTTTTATTGGTCTTTAGGTGTATATCGTGCTGGGTAAAGTCTCTTCACAATTTAAATGATATATAGCAATTTAATGTATGAATAATAATTAAAAAAAAACAAGAAATAAATAACTATTTTCTTGGGATCAGCAGATGGCATAATGATTACATCACTGAACTCCCACATGGTCAACCATGGTTCAAATCCCAGACCTGGAAACTTGAAACTCACACGAGGTACATGTGCACGCATGGCCAAAATCCTGAGAGAAGAATGAAGGAGAAGGGATTGTGGCATGGTCATCCCTCACGGGGTGATTTCTCACTTTCTGTCTTTCTGTTTCTCTCTGTCTCTCTGGCGAGTGCACATGCCCTATAGCAAAAAATCTCTCTAAGAAAAAAACAAAACTATTTTCTTTATTTTCTATAATGTCTATAAAAATAGTCTTCAGTATGAAGACTATTTTAGTACAAAATATTAGCCGTATCCCAAATGTAATTACAGTTTCAGTTTAGCAGCATATATTTAGTCTCAAAATTTACTTAGATTAGACAGTTTATTTATTTAGGAGAGATTTTTGCTACAGGGAAAGTGTACTCACTGGAGAAACACAAAGACAGGAAGCAAAAACTCACCCCTTGGAGGAGGGTGATCACACTGCAATCCCTTCTCCCCCATTCTCCTCTCGGGATTTTGGGCACACATGCGCATGCACCTGGCATGATGTTTGAGCCACCAAGTCCGGGACTCAAACTGTGGTCAACTACATGGCAGTCCAGTGACATAATCATTACACCATCTGTTGGTACCTAGGTAGTTTCTTTTGAATTAAATGTTATAACACCAAGATTCAAGATATTTGTACTACTTTTGCCTACTAGTAAACAAAGAACTGATTTGTAAATTAGAATTATTGAGGGTATACAGTGGCACACAGCAGTTAAATGTTATACTCTGTGAGACAATTCCACACAGGAAAGTTCCTGGTTCAAGTATGGAGAACATACTGAAAACACAGGGAACATGCTTATCCATGACCTAGGGCTAGATGAAAGCTGGGGGTAGATCATGGTATCAAGACCCTTTGAGGGTCTTCTCTCTCTCTCTCTTTCTCACTCATGGAGTAAATAAATTAATAATTTGTTTGTTTTAGAGGTTGTTGCCTTAGGGCACATACACTCACCAGAGAGAGACAATGAGAGGGAAAGTGAGAAATCACCCCCTAGGGGAGATGGCCACACCGCGATCTCTTCTCCATTCTCCTCCTGGGACCTTAGGCACACACGCACATGTACCCAGCATGAGTTTCAAGCACTGGATCTGGATTCCAAACCACAGTAAGCCATGTGGGGGTCCAGCAAGGTAAGCACTACACCATCTGCCAGCCCCAACAGTTTGTTTTTAATTAAAGAATTGCCAACCTCAAATTCTATATCCAGTGAAAGTATCTTTCAAGACTGAAGAGAAAATTAAAACATTTTCCAATGAGAGAAAATAAAGAACATTTGTTACCAGTAAACCTACCCTAAAAGAATGGCTAGATAAAATTATCCAACTATCTGGGCTAGAGGTTAAGAGAGCTGGATCCCATGTGGCCAACCATGGTTCAAATCTCAGCCCCAGTGAGGTGAAAAACACACTAGGCACCTATGTGTAGGCCCCAAATCCCAATAAAACAGATAAATTAAGAAGGGATTGAGGTTTGACCATGCCCCATAGTGGGTGATTTCTCCCTTTATCAGTCTCTCTCTGGCAAACACTTACACAAGTATAAATAAATAAATACACTTCCTCTCCTGTCCTGACCTCCAGTTTTTAGCTTCCAGGCTTGTTGCATACCCCCATGATGGGGCAAAAGTAAAACAGAGCTACACTGGCCAAAACTGATCACCAAAGCCCCCGGCTCAGCCTAGAGTATGGGAGGAAGGGCTACTTTCTCTTCAAGACCACCACCCCAGTCCCTGCAGTGGCAGTTAGAAGGTAGGAGGGGCCACCTTTCTTGTACTGGTGCTGCTCTATCCTCCACTCATCCAGCAGCAAAAGGAAAGCAGGGTCACACTGGCCTAAGCTGATTACCAAAGGCCCTGGCCCAGCCTAGAGTGTGGGAAGAGGGGCTGCCTCCATCTTCAGCTACCACCTTACATTCTAGCTTCCCAGCTCAGCCCCTAGCTACATTGGGACCATTGAGTTTGGGTATACAGCCAAACAGCTGAAGACAGTGAGACTCTGGAGGAATTCTCTCTCCACTCTCACCCCAGCAGAAAAAGGAAAAATTAACAAACAAACAAAAAAAAATCAAAGAAAAACCAACAAACTCCTCTCTGTAAATCTGAACTCAAAACTCCCAGTGTGGATATCACACTGCCACCCACACTAGAAGAAGAACTATATCCCCTCCAAAGGAACACAGTAACTCCCCACCAACAGTGAGTAAAACACAAGAAATCACAGAAATGTCAGAAAAAGAATTCAGAATATTCTTCATCACAAAACTCAAGATATACAAAAGAAAACAGACTCCAGGAAATGATAAAATCTTATCATGATTTAAAGTAATAACTCCATAAAGGGATAGATACCTTGAAAAAGAATCAAACAGAACTTATTAAGATAAAGAATACAATGCAGGAAATCAATACCTCCCTCAAAGTGTTAGCAGCAGATTGGACCATGAAGAAAGAAAGAATATGAGTTTGAAGACAAAACTTCCAACATAGTCCAAGAAATAGAGAAAAATGTAAAAAATTACAGTTAAAAATGAAGTCAACATACAGGAAATGCTAGATACCATTAAATGGCCAAATACTCACATAATGGAAATTTGAAAAGCTGAAAAGACAGAGAAAGGCTTAGAGAATTTCCCTCATGATACATTAGCTGCAAACTTTCCCAATTTAGAGAGGCATATGAAAATCCAAATCCAGGAAATACAAAGAACACCAAATAGATTTTACATATTATAAGAAGATTCTCTTTAAAGTGCAGTATAGCCAAAGAGGTAAAAATCAAAGACTATATCCTAAAAATGACAAGAGAAATGACAAGTTACTTACAAATGTTACCCCATTAGACTAATGTTGCAGCTCTCAATTGAAACAATGTAGGCAAGAAGAGAAGTGGAAGACATTCAAAACTCTAGAAGAAAAACAATTTTAGCCAAGAATACTATTCACAGCAAGATTATCCTTCAAATGAGAAGGAGAAATAAAATCATTCCCAGATAAACAAAGGCTGAAAGAATTCAGTAAACCAGCTTTTCAGGAAATTCTTAAGGGAATACTCACCTGGAAAACTAATGAGAGATAAATAAAAGTAAGAAAAAACAAAACAACTGGGAAAAAAAAAAGAATAACTAAATGACAGGGATAAATCCACACGTACTGAAAATAATATTGAATGTTAATGGATTATATTTCCCTAAAAAAAGACACAGACTGGCTAATGGATAAAAAACAATAACTCTCTATATGTTGCTTACAAGAAACACACCTCATTGACAAAGATATATAGACAGTGAAAGTGAAGGGTTGCAAACAGCAATTTCCTAGAAACAGAAATATCCAGTAACAGGAAAAAAGGCAGGAGATACAATGTTGATATCAGACAAAATAGACTAAGATAAGAAGAGTAAAAAGAGACAAAGAAGGACACTAGATAGTTCTAAAAGGATTAATTCACCAGGAAGATATAACAATTATAAATACTGAGTCATCAGAAAAGTCATAAAGTATTTTTCTGTTTTTCTAAGCAAAAGTATATCATAACATTTCCAATAAACCCAGTACTTAGGTACCCAATGCCAGGGCACCCAAATATGTAAAAGAAAGACTGCTAGATCTGAAGGGAGATACAGACTGGAACACACTAATTCTTGGGGATTCCAACACCCCACTGTCACCACTGTACAGGTCATTTGGATATAAAATAAAGAAAGAGACACAGGAGCTAACTGATATCACAAACCAAATAGATCTGACTGACATATATAGAGCATTCCACTCAGCAACTACGAAATACACTTTTTTTCTCATCTCTACATGGAACGTTTTCAAAGACTGACCACATAACAGGACACAAAATAAGCTTAAGCAGACTTAAAGTGTAGAATTATACCCAGAATCTTCTCTGATCACAATGGAATTGAATGTGAAATCAGGGCCAGCAGCTGGCATGGTGGTTAAGGTGCTGGATCCCACACAGCTGACTTTACAGTTTGAGTCCCTGCAGTTCGACATGGAAGCTTGAAAAGCACACTGGGTCTGTGTGCATGTGTGTCCTGAGAGGAAAATGGAAGAGAAAGGATTATAGTGTGACCATTTCCCCTCGGAGGGGATTTCTCACCACCACCCCCACTCTGTCTCTCTAGGGTGAGCACACATGCCCTATAGCAAAAACCTAAAAAGAAAAAAAAGTGAAATCAACCATGAAAAGAGCCCTCAAAAAGGCACAAAAACATGGAAATCAAACAACCTACTCCTGAATGACTTTAAAACTAATGAAAACATTAAGACTGAAATAAAAAGATTCATTGAAACCAATAATGAATACTCCATTTTTCATAACTTTTGGAACACAGCAAACACAGTTATAAGAACCAGAGTCATTAGTACTCACAAGAAAAAAACAGAAAGGTGGCAAATAAACAACATCGCTTTTCAAGGAACTGGAAAAGTAACTAAATAACAGAAGAAAAGAAATAATAAAGCTTAGAGTTGAAATAAATAAATGAATAGGGAATAAAAGAACTATAAAAACAGAAAAAAGATGATTATTTTTAAATAAAAAGCTTTATTGAATAGCCTAAAAACATTCGGGGTTGCAGGAGGGCGGCAGGTGACTTGGTGGATAGAGGCGCTGGATTCCCAACTCCTGAACCTGGTGGCTTGCTTTCTCACCTTCCCTCTCTCTCTTTTTTATCTCTGTCTCTCTTGGGTCAAATTAAATAATAATAATAACAATAATAAATTAAATTAAATAAATAAATCTTTTTAAAAGGTTTTTTTTTTTTAATGGACTAGAGGCCCAGCCAGAAAGGTGCACAGATAACCACATAGGAGACCTGGGTATGGTTTCTGGGCCAATCTGAACATGCTGGGCACAGTTGCACATGCCTGTACTTCTAGCTAATTGGGAAACCCAAAGGGTTGTGACATGGTGAGACTCTGCCAAAAATGCCTATCCTTATCTCTCTCCCTTCTCTTTCTCTCACATAAAGGGGGAAACACGGATTACAGTTCTATTGTAACTCATCAATTACACATAAATAATTTGAAAAAGTATTTTGTAAATAACTGTGTTATAGTTTGGGGTGGGGATAGAAAAGAGAGGTTTTAAATCTGGTTTAAGTGAGAGTATAGAACTTAAGTGAGAGGTGTAGACCTCAAAAGGAATATGAAAGAGGAAACCACAGAATAGGAAAAGACATTTGCAGCACATGACCAACAGACTAAAGAGCTCCTATGAATTAATAAGAAAAGCACAGGTGGGGGACGGCAGGTGGTAGAGTGGTTAACGTGCTGGACTCTCACATGGCCAACTGTGGTTTGAGTCCCAGACCTGGTGGGGACTCACTTTCTCTCTCTCTCTCTCTGGTCAAATTTAAAATAATAATAATAATTACAAATAAAATTCTTTTTTAAAAAGAAAAAGAAAAGAAAAGAACAGGCTATGGGAAAATGCTCAAAAGACTGTCAGGCACTTCGCAGAAGAGAATCTAAATGACCAATATGACATGAAAAGTTATCTAATCTCACTAGTAATCGGGGAAATGCAAATTAAAACCACACTGAAATAGATACTACTATCTACCCACCAGCTCGATAAAAATAGTCTGGTGATACCAAGTGTTAGCAAGGAGGTGGAACAAAGGGTTCTCTCACATACAAGAGAGAATGGGGCCCAAACATTTTGAAAAACAGTCTGGTGCCTCTATTAAGGACCAAAATATACAGTGTTCACACCCTAGAAATTTTATTCCTAGATTAAAATATATATATATGTGTGTGTGTGTGTGTGTGTGTGTGTGTGTGTGTGTGTGTATACATACATACTATGTGTAATGAAATACATGGACCAAAGTATTCAAACATCATTGTCTGCGAGGGTACCAAACTAGAAATAACCTCGGTGGCTATCAATATTACAATGGATAACAGTCATTCAATAGATGTATGTACAATAATGAAAACCAAGTAAAGATGAACTCAACACATGGGTGACTCTTAAAGTAACATGTTGATAGATACAGAATACATACAGTATGATTCCACCAGTCTGAAGCTCACAAACAACCAAAGGAAACTGTGTTGGTGGGTAGCAGAGCTATAAAGAAGAGCGAAGAAGTAAATACCATAAACATCTGAGAGATTAGCAGTAGCGGGGAGGAAGGGGTGTAGTAGGGTTTCCGGGGAACAGGTCATGTTCTATTCTTGGCCTAGGTAGTGTTATGTGGGTGTTCATTTTACAACAGTTGGTTAAACTTCACAAGTATGCATTTTCCCTTGTATTTCACAATGTAAAATATTTTATATTATTTTTAAAGAACCTTTAAGTTAGTGAAGTGCATATTTTGATAAGACTTTACTAGTAGTGCTTTTCCCTCACATTCTTTTCTTTTATTCATGATAGAGCATGTGTGCGCATCAAAGAGAGGGAGACAGAGAGATGGGAGGTCTGGTCATACTTTGATCTCCTTCATCCAGGCCTCCACTTCATCAGACCTTGGGCACTTGAGTGTGCACCCACAGGGTTTCAGGCCAATGCAGCCTGGGAAACCTGATTGCCAAGTAGTTTCCAGAACTGCAGTTTGGCATATTACTACTGCACACCATGGCTGGGCCCTTCATATATTTTTTTAAGAATTATTTTGTTTAAATTTATTTATTTGTTTGTTTATTTTAATTTGACCACAGAGAGACAGAGTGAGAGAGGGAAAGTGAGAAAGCAAGCCACCAGGTTTGGATCTCGAACCTCGGTCAGCCACGTGGGAGTCCAGCACCCTTAACCACCATGCCATTTGCCGGTCCCTCATAATTTTTTAACAACTTCCAAACAGACACTGTGGTGTTACTATGATGCTTTGGATTAGAATTTTGCCCTGGAAAAGCTCCTCCTATATGTGAACCCCTCTTATTAAGTCTAGCCTATTCTGTCCTGTTCAGTCTTCCACAAAGACATAAAACAGGTTACCCCCTAATCTCAAAGCTTTTTCAGGTGATAATGGGTGCTGTTTGAATAGAGGGTGCTGACTCTGTGCCTGGCACCTGCTGGGTACCTTACAAAAATAGTAACTTGTGAATGAATAAAAGAATGATATCCATGACTGAAAAAAAAAAGTCATTTAATCCAGATGGTGTTATAATAATCCACTTTATTCAACTCATTCCGAACTCCCTGTTACTTCCCTATGCCTTCCTCAAGTGTGGGTCTAAACTCGTTATAGGAGCCCTACTTCACGGCTGAACACTCACATTCCTCTTCACCAGTGAGGAGGAATGCCCAACTATATGTGCAACTGACTGGTTTCAAACACACACACACACACACACACACGTGCACACACATGCACAATAACCCAAAACTGCAAGTATATTTAAACTATCATTTTTCTAGAATCCAGGGCTGTGTTTTCTGCTATACTCGGGCTTTCTCCACCTCAGCCCTATGACATCTGTGGCTGGGTCATCTTTTTTGAGGTCTGCTCTGTACATTGTAGGAATTAACAGTATTCTAGCCTCCACTCACAAGATACCAATAGTACCCCCCACCACCAACAACTAGTGACCACAACTGTCTTGAGACATTGCCAAATGTCCCCATCCCTTTTTTTAGGGTTTTTTTTTTTTTTTTTTTTTTTTTTTGGCTATACGGTACATGCGTTCACTGTAGAGAGACAGAGAGGGAAAGTGAGAAATCATCCCCCCAGGGTGATGGCCACGCTGCAATCCCTTCTCCTCTGTTCTCCTTTCAGGATTTGAGGCATGCACACAGATACACTCAGCCTGTTTTCAGGAGGCCATGTGAGATCCAGCACTTTCACCACCATGCCACCTGCTGCCCACTAAAGGTCCCCTTAGGGATGAAATTGCACCTGCTTAATAACTGCAATGTTATACTAACCTTGTTTCTATAACTTTCCCTTTTACTATAACAAAGCTTTATCTTACAAGAGCGCATAGCTAGTATGGTTATGTTAGTCTTACGTTGTTTGAATATGTACAGGAGTTTCTTTCTGCCCCGTTTGACCACAGAGAAACGGACTATGAGGAAGAACAGCAGGGATAACACTGTCACCGACGTCAGCACAAGAAAGTACGTGATGATCTGCGGAGTGTGGCCTTCAAAAAAGGGCAAAAGGAGAAATTCAGGCAGAAATATATAAACAAATACATTCATGCTTGTATTTACTTCAGTAAACGTCTAAGTACAAGAAGGATTCATACCTTAGGGACCTTTAACCTAATTTAGTAAAATTAGAAAACTAAACAAAAAACACAAAAACAAACACTTAAAAATTTACATAGAGCCCCACAAAAGTCAAGCAGTTTGGCCTTTCTAACACACAGAAAATATGGCACCCCACCATCCCCTTTACTTGGCTAATGAAGTTGTAGTGTCTGTTGGGTGAAACGCCACCTTGCATTGCTTACTAACATGTATCTCAGACAAAATTAAAAAAAATGCCTGAGAAAAAAACTGACAGATCCTCCAAAGCAGGAAGGAGGAAGGCACACCAGAGGTGCCTGTTGTAGGCAGAGATGTGGGACATTGTGACCTTGGGGCGATTCGGATACCAGTTGGGATAGCCATGATACATTCACTTTGACATAACAGCCACAACCCAGC